TGCGAATTCGATTTCCGATTTGTGCCCCACAGATCAGTAGCGTTGAGGAGTGATTGCTGATGGCACTATTAGGTAGAAAACTGGCTGAGATAAACGCAAAGCAAGGACCTCAGTGGTGCATGCGTAACACGTGAGGCCCCGGAAAGGGTAATCGCGGTTGGATCTGGCTTGGGGTTCACGTTTTGCAAACATGAAGTCGCTATTATAGCACTTATCCATTCACAGTAGTTGACGTATCAGTGGTTTCGCCTTGTTCAGAGTCGTTTTGTTTCTCATACGCCCTCCAGTTATTACTCGAGACCAGCCGCATAGTCTTACAAATGTCAATCAACTCTATATCCACTACTCACTATAAAAAACAAGCTCGTCTGACAACAGAATTCAAAACTAAATGATGGCACAACGCTGCTAAAAGAGTCTCCGAAAAGTGTCGGTCTATCCGTTTTAAATTCGCTGCCTGCAAAAGTTAGTCTGATCCGTGCAATGACATTCTAAGTCCATTGATTGATTCAAGAGATGGTCCGCTGAGGAAGACATAGGTCGATATGAAAGCGAAGACGCCACATCGAGACAAAGAACGGTGAACTATCGACTCGGATCGTCCGCTCTGATGAAGACGAGGACGTCGAAACGTTAGCAGAATAAAACTGTTTGTTAACCTCGTGTGAGCTCATCAAAGAAGAATACATATTCGAAGTTCAATTTCTTGCAGTGTATTTCATCCTTTGCACGCTAACTTTTACTAAATGACTACGCCAAAGTGGTAGTAGTTTCGATTAACGTAGATAAGAGTCGAACCTGTGACTACAAAGAACCGCCTTTTCACTGCAGTGCGCTAAGATATTTCTTATTGAATTAGAACAAAAGAAACGAATAAATACTGTGATAATGAATCAGATGAAACGTATCGTCATTCTAAAGTTGGTTAAGTTTAGCTATTTGTCATTGATAACAGGACAATAATATGAAATTGACAGTAATTAGATTTTAACTTATTATTTTCTGTCTACTCTTTTTTAAGGCAGAGTATATTGCGAAATATAACTTGAATGATATTTGCAAAACTCCGGACCGCAGGTGCATGCGGTGGGGAACGAACGCGCTATTGTCCTTTCCGGGGAGTAACGCGTTCACTACCACACCATGCGGGTCCTTCGTTTCGCCTGTCTCACAGCTATTTCTCTCGATCTTTGCCACAGCAATCACCCCTCAGCGGGATTGATCTGGGGCGTCCAAATCGGCAACGAACCCAATTAAGCTGAGGCCGTAGTTATAATCACAATTTCAACTTATTATTTTCTGCCTACTCTTTTTAATTCTTTCATTGAACTCTTTCATTAAAGTTATTAGATTCTCACACAAAATACTACAAAGCCATTGCAAATTTGTGAACCTTAACTACCTATTCTACGCAGATCTTATTTGTAAAGATTACCGATAAGGGCTATGGATATGAAGAGAAATTATAACGAACGAGAATAAAAGTAAAAGATGGGCGATTTCTAAGAAAAAAGGACTACGAAGAAGTTTGGCACTCGGAATAGCTTGCAGCCTTGTCGCTGCTAAGGGATATTCTCGACCGCTGAAGTACGATGTACAGCGCGGATTACACACTCCGAAAAAGGTCTAGCAATCTGATCAGACCGGCATCATCTATAAGTCCATTAAGGAATAAATCAATATGAAGAATCACTTTCAGTCTGGCAACACATGTACTCACTAGTTCGGAAATGTTGACGAACAGGAGAAGTTCTTGTACAACTTTTAGGACACGAATAAGAGAAAACCCTAACCTAACCGAATTACTAATCAACTGAAAATTTTGCTAGCACACAATTCTTCATGATTTGCGAAAACAAACCGTTCGACTACTCAAATATAAGCAAAGCTGTTCGTAAACATCTGCAACGGCTCCTGCCTGAGTTGATAAATGAAAGATTCCTTTCGCAACACCCAAAACCGTCCAATACCCATCATTTACAAAAAATCATGCATGAGATAGGCAGCGCAGTGGCACTAATGCCCTCACTACGAACGCGGAGCTGTTTCGACCCCGAATTGAGCTCACCAAGCCTTTCACCACTCCCAGATTGGGGAAATGGTAACAGATTTATCTGGGACAAGATAACTCGTTGCAATCCACGTGAGATCGCTTTGGCTCCGCTATCCGTAAATTCGAGCGAGAATCAGAGGACAATCCCGAAATAGCCACCGAAATGACAGGTAAAAAATTCAAAAGCTTCGTGGAAAATGCATGCAAGGAAGAGAATCGAATGCAAGAAGTGCTGGAAACCTCATATTAGATGTGAAGACGGATCATTTTAGAGAAATGAAAAAAGGTTAACAGGATTGTAGATTCACTAGTTTCGGAAGATAAAATTTAATTAGTTCTTTTTATAATAAGAGTTTAATTGTTCTTAGCTAAAAAGTGTGCGTGCATGTCTCAAACGTTGAAGTACAGCCAACGAAGTTCGACACTTTCATCCGGAATTCTAAAAGTTCGGCACTCCGATGGAAATTGTTTTTGTACTTCATGTATGGTGAACGAGTTGAGCACACAAACTGTTGTACTCAGGATAATTAGAGACTCTACTCGCACCAATTGCTCGAAAAATGGTGCTCCAAAGCGCACGTGACATAAACGATAAGGTAACCAAATACTCATATAAACGGTAGAAAACCATACATAAAGCGCCCTTTTAACTTCATATAATAGTTATTAAGAAAACGAAGCGTAAGAGAAGATAATACAGTAACTTTGGCTTTGACCATATTTATTTCTCTGGACAACTATGGCGCCAAAGAAATAATTGCAATATCCTTAAAGGCATGCAACATTAACGACTTTCTTTTGTTACCATTCCCATGACTACGTATCAACAACGGGCACAATATGAAAAGAAAACTTTTCAAATACAACCACAACGAATATATAGCTTTGTACTACTATATGGCTCTATTGACTGATATGCCACACTAACATTTATGAAATCCTGAGTTTCAAACGTCTTTCTCGATTATCTAATTGTACAGTTTAGGGGCTTCCCGTCAAGCATACCTTGAGCATTTTTCCAAAATTTTCCCAAGGTTTAATTGGAATTTTCCACAGAACATTCCTATAAAAAACGAACAAACTAGAGGTAACCATGAACTTTTCAAAGGAACGAAGAGATATTCAGTGGATGAACTGTACATTTAATTTACCGGATCGACTAATAAATTATGTGTGTACGTAGACACATTCATGCATGTTTGTACGGAAATATTGGCGTGTATACGGGTTATGTCACCGATTCGTCCATAGTCTACTATCGAATGGCGCGGCGGGGTATTATACGGAATTTAACCACAATGATGCTGAGATATTTGCAAAACTCCGGGCCGCAGGTGTCTGCGGTGAGGATCGAACACACTACTACCCTTTTCGAAGACTAACGTGTTCATCAACTCATGCAGACCCTTCGTTTCGAGTGACAATGGGCGATCTCAATGCCTATTCTAAAAAAGCAGACAAACTATCAGTGGAAATCCCAGCACTTTGAACACAACGTAACTAGAATTATGAAGAATTATAACGGTCTGGAGGTCCTAAGACAGAGTAACTCACTAGGGCAGCCTGGTGTGCAAAATGAACAAATACAAACCTTAATGTTGCTAGTTCAATTAATAACGAAAAAAATTATTTAAACAATAAAATTGGATGTATACAGTAAGTCACAAAATCTATTAAAAAAAAACGCCTTGCAGTCCTATGTGCCCGGGAGAAAGGAGTTGTGGGAAATCTTAAAATACTGTGCAGATCAACAACAAGCTCTTGAAGTGTATACAACTAATTATAGACAGAGTTAAAAACAACAATCTTTTTAATCAGTTTTCTAACATTTTAACTTCCACACGTTTCCTTGGTTTTCAAAGATAAAAGGTCAGTTTTATTATGGAACATAGAAACAGCTCCAGCAAATAAGGTGAAGAAGGATCAGTTAAGAAAAATGAAATCGTGTGTGACTATCCAAGGATTTTCGGTCAATTTTGAATCTCTAGAACAAGTAAAATTGCATCGGAAGGATAAAATAATTATAATTCCTTAAGTTCGTTAACTGCCGTCCTCCCAACGGTTTCCCGTCTTATCGTGGCTTTGAAGTGTTCCTGGCTGTCGGGCTGCCATATACAGTGGAGAAATTCATCCCTCAGCAGGGCCTCTCTGGCTAAGAAGGAGGTTAATACTAAACCAATACTAGTATCCACCGCCCTCTTGGTATCAAAATACTGGCATGGTGACAAATCTCTCTCTGATTCACAAAGGTAGCGACTGCCTGTCGTGGTGACGACTGGGCAGGTTTTTTTTAGGCTGACCTCGGGACTTCAGGGAACTACAATGACTAAACCAACAAAACTCCGAAAAAATGGAAATTATACAGGGGCCTACACAACCAGTGAGGACGGTCCGTCCAAGCATCCAAGTATGTACCTCCAGTACTCCAAATGACATAACAACATTTACTTCATCTCACCTGGGCACCAATGTTTGGAGTGATGCCTTTGCAGTTTGCATGCGATTGACCAATGTGTCGGAAAGCCGCCAAACAAAAATGCAGCCATTACTAGCCGTTATATACAGCCTTCTGAAAAAAAGCGCTCAGCTTTAAAGAAATCCGAACAAGCTTCTTTGTTGCTTCCTACGTTAAAAAAAGAGTTATGGGGAACATATCACTTCAAAAGTGCAACAGAATGAGTTTTAATACACTAGAGTATAGAGAGGAAAAAACACGAATATACAAAAATTGTAATATTTTTGGGACAACAAGTAGACGTTCGCGAAACATCGTCATACTTACTGGCACAATGAGGGATTACAATTACAAAAAGTTTTTGTAAAATTCAAAAAAAGCAAGCCAATGTGGGAAACAATCGCATTCTAAGAGGGCGAAAGAATAGTTGTGGATATCTGAAACGTCCTAAACAGTGAAATTGAAATAATTAATCACTTAAAATGGTGACTATCAAACGTCAAGAACGAAATCGGACACTGCTGACCTGCAATCCTCGGAAAATTCAACGTCAGTAGCCGATTCTCCGATACCCGTCAAAGCCGCTAAGCACTTCCCAGAACGAACTTCTACCATGTAAACATGACGATCCGAACATACACTAGCCGCATAGATCCCTGATGGATCAAGGCAAAACTAGAAAAAAGGTCGACTACACAGATTTTAAAACCTTACGATCTAAATTACTAGTGTAGATTGTAAAACGTTGAAGTACTCAGAAAAACACAAAACAGACAAAAATTCAAAGATACGCGGAGATGCCAGAACAAAACCCAGTATTTTAAAACAAAATTAAATCCAGATCAGAATAAACTAATATTCTATTCACGTATAAACGAAAAACACTCGCGTAATGGACCGCTCTTTCCAAGGTTCTTTTTACCAATTTTCCCAATTGGACCGTTGGGCAACGGTGAGAGATGCCGCGCAACCTTACATGTCACGGACCAAGCATACCTCCGTCCTTGCTCAGAAAATTGCTGTTTCTCATAGAAAAGCTCTCTCCGATCCGCAATGGACGCCGACTGTCTCTGTGATGAAATGCTAGGAACAATACAGTTGAGCCATCACAAGATTTCATGAAGAATCAACTCGGCCACCATTCAATCACATTCAACAAGTCAAGGTTTTCCAGCGCCAAACCAACACGCGAACCCGAAGACCTTTTAGGATAACGGATGCGAGACGGTTAACCAAATGAAAGAAGATTTCCCAATAAATGCGTGAAAGAATCAAATCAAGAAAAGAAAACTTACCTTTGTTAGTGAACCTTGTTGAAGGTCAGCTTCACCACCAGTGCCCCGTACCGTCGTTAGTAGCTTTCCAGAAAGACTATACGCTCGTAACTGTCTATCCTGGCATGATGTCAGGAGAATATTTCCACTTATTGGTATCAACAAATCGTTAATTCCCATTTGGGATGAGATCTGATTTTCACGATTGAACTGCACAGCATTCTGAAAGGATAAACAAAGTGGCTCTAGTATACACCTATGATGGTAAGGAAATAAATGACTAAGTAAACAAGTGAACGGACAAATAACGAAAAGTCATGTTGATACGTGAGCAAAACTATGGAACATGTGGGCATCGAACCCATGATTACCCCTTCCGGAAGTTCACGTGCCATACACCAAACCAACCTAGGCCCTTGCTTTGCCTTGGTCTCAACCAGTTTTCCACTTTAAGGGTGCTAACAGAGAACACTCGTCAATGGGAAAGATCTGGTGAGTACAAATCGGCATTGAACACAACCGAGAAGAAGTTACCGTTGAAATCACAACCACAGCTAAGTATTGTGTATCTTTGTGGTTGTACTTCACATAACATCCTGCTATAAAAAAGAATAGGCAGTAAATAAAAGTTGAAAACTGTGATTCTAGTTGCAGCTCCAGATGATGGTCCCCAGACCATTCCTGTTGATGGCTATTGCTGATAGCACTGTCACCACTAAGAAAAAACTGCCTGAGTAAAAGATAAAGTAAGGGCTTCGGATGGTAAGGTGGCTAGCACGTGATCCTCTCGAAATAGTAATCGCGGGCACGAAGCTCGCCTAAGGTTCCGGGTTTTGTTCACATTTCAGTATCCCTGTGGTTATATTTAACGATATTGATCAAGCCACATATGCTGCTGGATGATACAATAGCACACCATAGACCACAAAGTATTCCTTTTCTCATAGCAGTTATTTGGTTATCCTCTGGACCTTGCCGGAGTGACTTACAAATGGAACGCACAACACAAATAGGGTCATATTTCCAGCTAAATTGTAGTTCAAGTTAAGAAACTTCCCCATTAATTTGTGATTTAAAAAACTGTGGGGACCAAAATCATTGGAAGACGCCAATCGTTAAACTTACATGAGTGAACAGCACCAATCGCCAAATAATGATTGTCTTGTCGGAACCGCATGTGAATAAGTACAGTTCATCGCTTTTCTAAAAAAAGGTTTAATGAAGAACTCCTTGAACACTCACTAGTAAGAAGTGACTCCAATTATTCTCAACGCGCTGGCAGGAGATCAGAGCATGTTAGCTCTTTGCTTCCTCCTTACTAACTACGCTTAATCCATCGCTATTCACGAAGAAAATTTTATGAAATCCAAAGACCAGACTCTAATCTTCGAGTGAAGAAGGTGCACTTTCTGGTTCATAAAAGATATGTAGACTCCAATGGTGTTCATTGTAAGCAGTGAAGTTTACTATAACCAGGTATGATTTGAAATCAATTCATATCGTCTAGGACTTAACAACAATGCATAGGAACTTTAAAATGTTATTCTGCTTTTTTCTTAACAAAGTAACTAATGAGCTCTAAATAGTAGTGACCAATTTATCAGACGGGTTGTAAAGCTACAACATCTTTTCAAAATGTACCATTAAACAGTTCCCAGGATCGACTTTCTATTTTTCGTAACTTCCAATGAAAAAAGCGGCTCTGAAGAAGGCGATACTGCTGAGAAGTCAGCTACTGCTGTATTGTATTGTAGAATTGTATTTTCCCATGGAAGTAAATGTATGCTGTATAACAACCTCGCGATTGCTGAACAAGAAAACGACGCATTCATGTACCATTAAATGTTGTAGGCGAATTTCGATTATGTAGATGAATAGAACCACTCCAACGGTTTGGCGCCTCATCGTGGCTCGGAAGTGTTCCTGGGTGTCGGGTTGCGATGTACAGCCAAGAGTCCGACGTTCCCATGAGGAAGTCCAGCTAAGAGTAAATCTACCACCGGCCTGATATCAAACTAGTCGCATGATGGCAAACCTCCCTCTGATTCACAAGGACAGCAACTGCCTGTGGTGGCGACGACCTGGAGCAAACTTTGGCTAGGTTGGCCTCTGGACTCCGGAGAACCACATTAGCTAAACCAGCAAAACTCCCAAAAAACTGGAAATTATGCTGAGCCCACACAACCAATGAGGACGGGCCATCCAAGTATCCAAGCATAGGTAATACGAATAGAACAAGGTATTTGATCCAAGAAGAGAAAGATTTCCCTCATGTTTACGCATCATTTGAGTCAAAAATTGATAATACCGCACCATACAGACTGGCTGATACTTTTTCTAAACCAGAACCAACTTGATTTGTGTTTGCACCTGTACAAAGCGAACTGCATTCAACGCGCTTTGGTGATCATCTATAACATTGCAGTGCTCGTAGCTCGTCTTGCCGGGACGGAAAAGATGCACCAGGCGATCGCGTCCACCAGAAGCAAACAGATAAGGCATACCTTAAAAAAATGAAAACATCCAAGGAAGAAACTTGTGTAATTTTCCTTTGTTTTTCGAACATCCTTAAATAGAAACAAACAATCAAAAAAGATGGATAGTAAATAAAGCATGCCTCGAGAATTATTAGAATATTCCACACACTGGACGTCGTTTTCGTGTGCACTAACTACTTCCAGCTGGTTCATCTCGGGATTGCAAAGATCGATTATGCTAAAACACAAAAAAACCAGCTATTATGTGGTATTTAAAGGGTAGATAAAAAGGATTAAGCTCTCGGCACCTATCTATCCCTCGGGAATGCGTCATGCACTCGACTTCACTAAGCATCGTTTAGAGGTGACTGAATGCATATCTAGCCTTTAGAATTACTCGCGGTGGCCTACCGATGTACCGAGCCAGTATAGCTATTCTCTCAGACAAGTATGGTAGCAATTTGCCAACCCCCGGAAAGATGGAAGGTTTGGTGGGCCACGGGCGCGGGGATCGACCCCATGTATATGTTGCAGGGCGCCTCCGACCACTGCCCTACACGCACCTTCATTCTCATATATATATATATATATATATATATATATATACATCATATATACGTATAGATATGTATATATACGGCTTCGTAACGAAATAAAGCAGATAATGATAATTTACGCCTAAGGTAATGATCTAGAAGATACCGAGCAGCTGTTCGCTTTTGTATAGCAACAAGAATGAAAAAACAATTGTTGTTGAAAACGAGGTATAGAACTAACTGAAGTTTTCCACTTTTTGTCCCAGCTACAAGGTGTTTCCCATCTGGTGATATAGTTAAGCATCGAATTCCTGTGGTATGGTCGACGCGTTCGCTTGGCCGGAGGCCAAGATCTGAGCAAATAACATTAGGATTGTTTTCAAAAAGTAATTAAGGCTAAAAGGGCTGATGTAAGAGGGCCGACTTTTGTACTTATCCACTCGTTGTACCAAGGCTTCCAAACTGGGCTCAAAAGAAGGTAAAATAAACAGATTTTGAGAAAAGTCAATTGAGTTTCATAGACCAAAAAACTCGTTCACAAGCAAAAAACATGTGAGAAGCATGTCAACCTTCGAGTACAAGATCTTTTTTTTCTATGTTTCTTTCAAACCAGAAGTGAAAAGAAACCAAATCGAAATCTGCGAATGGTAAAGAGGACATCCATTTTCTCTTCTATGTTCGGCTTTGAAAAACTTCAAATTATACAAATCGAAAACATTAATTTAACTCTCTAAAGACCATACCTCCCCGTGGTTCAACTAGCGCCGAAAAGTTCTCTTCTACATAAATTATCTTCTTGAGCGTAGATGACAACAGATTTGAACTTGGTATCGAACAAACCTAAAACGATGACGTCATATGTTCTAGAACCATTTAGAATTATGTGCTAGAGTATTATTCTATCCACTTGTTAGCTAAATCACTTATCTCTCCATGAGAATGTTACTATCAAAGACCACAGCACAGAAAATTTCACTCGTGTATAATACTCAGGTTACTCAAAATGGTAAATGCAGGTCGACGGAGGTTGATTTATTGAATAAATATATATACATGCGTGCGTGTGTTTGTGTGTGCGTATGTATGTATGTGTGTGTGTATGTGTGTATGTCTGTATGCGTGTGTGTATGTGACACTACGAAACAGGTGAAACTTGGGTTACAATTACATTGGGATCGTAACTCATGCTATAATAGTAAACCGGATTTTAAGGTGAATAGTGTTCTAAAGAGAAGTCTTAATCTGGTGAAGACTACAATGTACCCGATCACATTTCCTGCTCATATTCCATATTCGTACAGTACCATCTGCACCAGCCGTAATAAATGATCCGCTCGGAAGATAGATAAAGTGGGATGGATAGCGCTAAAAAATTACAAAAATTACTACAATTATTCCAGATACAATACCTAACGCTATATACGGGAACGACGACAGAAATCAATGTAACGATCGAGTCAATGCTTTCTGTAAAAACCACGATAGTAGGAGGAAAGACACAGCCCTCTAAAACCAGTAGCTGTAATACTCAAAGAAGCTACAAAATTTTCAACTAATTCAGGTAACGTTGTCTACTACTCGAATGTATAACATCAGCGCATTGTTATAAATCCAGGTACCACCTATACCACCTACAGTGAACAAATCTAACTGGCAAACATAACCATAACATTATAAAGGAGAAAGGATGAAGCTGTAGGCGTTGAACCATCTCTGATGGATGCGCCACGCATTAGACTTCATTAAGCATCGTTCGGGGTAGGTGAGTGCATACCTGGCTTTTACAATGAATCGCGGTGGCCTAGTGATGTATGGAGCCAGTGCTAATATTCTCCTAGACAGGTCTGGTACCACTTCGCCGATCGCGCAGGAATAGAAGGTTTGGTGAGCCTGGGGCCCGGGTATCGATTCGTTGTCTATTGCGGGGTGCCTCCGACCACTGCGCCATTCGCGCTCGTTCATAATAATCATAGAAAAGTAGAAGAAGACAGAATAAGTCGTTGAGCACTGTTTTCAAGCACCCTTAACACTGCAACGTGAAGTGATAAACTGCTTCCAAAACTGTTACTGGATAACAAGATCTGCAAATTTGTGCAAGTCGAACTGTTTAACAAAAATTCTTTTCTAGAATTCTAGAAGTTGAATTTAGCCAATTTCTCAATCTTATTAAGCATAAAATCTCACTATTCGCTTTCACGAATAGGAGAAAGTATAACTGAGCCAAAGACCATACCTTGACTACCGTAACCGGCCCGACATGTGCCATGGAACTAGACAGTTTTCGCCACGGATCGGATCCTTTACCACGTTCGAAGACGAATATTGATCGATCCGAGTATGCTGCTATGAATGACTCCCTCATAGAGGACGTGCAACACAACGCGCGGACATCAGGATAGCTTAACAATGAAAACGTTTTAGATTATTTAAAGGTACCACTTCTATAGTTACCCAGGAAAAATGTAGTCACTAGTTTATGAAGTTTATTTACCACCTATCCTTTTTCATGGCAGGGTATGGTGTGAAATAGTAACCACAATGATGCTGAGACATTTGCAAAATGGAGGACCGCAGGCGTCTGCGGTGAGGAACGAACACGCTATTACCCTTTCCGGGGACTAAAGCGTTCACCACCACACCATACGAGTCTTTCGTTTCGCCTGTCTCCCAGCTAGTTCTATCGATTAGTGCCATCAGCAATCACCCGTCAACGAGATTGATCTGGGGAACCCAAATCGGCAACGAACCAAGTTAAGCTGAGGATGTAGTCGAAATCACAATGTTAACATTTTATTTACTACCTGTTACAACTTTTCACGACAGCGTACTATGTGTATTATGTCTCTGTCCTAATTTATTACAAAGGAATACAGCGTTAGGCTTTGATTAATCCGTGATGGATGGGCCACGTGTTCCAATTCATTAAGCATCGTCAGAGGTAAGTGTAGATAAGTCTAGTACCAATTTGCCGACATCAAACAGATGGAAGGCTTGGTGAGCCCGGGGTGCGGGATTAAACCAACGACCATGTGTGTATTGCTAAGCACCACTTAATACTGCACTACACGCTCCCAGACATCTATATATTGTTATTGCCCCTACTTTTTATTGTTCGTGCCTATTTTGCGCTTCACCCCTAGCTTTTTTTGTGGAGTCTATCTTGAAGTTCATGTAAACTACATGCGACCCTACGACCACCCTATAATATTGAGCCATTATAAATTACAAACCTTTACCTCAATTCAGATTTGTTATTTAATTAGCAAAAGAGGCGCGTATAGTTCAGTGTTAGAGGTGCCATGCAATACACATGGGTCTGATCCCTCGCCGGAAGCTCATTAAGTCTTCCATCGCTCCGGGGTTGATAAATTGGTACCAGACCGGTCTGGGAGGATAACTGCACTGAATCGATACATCGGTAGACCACCGCGAATCATTTTGTAAAGGCCAAATATGCATTCAATCACTTGTAAACTATGCTTAGTGAAGTCGAATGCATGGCGCATCCCTCAGGGATTGATCAACGCCGAGAGCTTTATCATTCATCCTTTTTTCTAATTGGCGTAGGTAAAGCGTTATGAAATTAGAGGTAACCACTACAGTGAGGTTTACTACGTTCCACGCACCGTGCTTGCTGCGGTTGAATTTCGAGCGCCTCCACGCTACTGGCAGATGCCGGATCCATTCCAATGAACGCGGGATGTGGCAGTCGACCACGCAATGTTAGGTCATCTTTATCGTAAAGACGAATTACGCCATTTGTAAAACCAAGCTGGAATTTACTGGGCATCATGAAGTTATAGTAAATCAACCAGCAAAAAAAAAAGATTAAAAGTCTGACCACAACGTCTTCTTTTGTGACTGACACGCAAAGGGGAATACTATGGTCATCGTAACGATACGTTTTCACATACTGAAATTACGCACATGCCAAAAATCTAGAAGGTTTAAAGTCCAGGAAACATTATCTTAAACAAACCCTATTACACTTGAATGTTAAACCCGAAATTTAAGAAAAAATATTCTCTTTTAACAGTTCACAGGATCGTCTTTCTATTTCTTCCTCGATCCTCTTTTATAGAGATCTAGTCAATGAACCGATATGAATCTCTGGATTGAAAAAAATTACCTTCTTGTTTAGAAATTCCACCAATGCACCATCTTCCGTGACGGCCAGGACTTTATTATTATCCAGGAAAACGACATCAACAAATACGGAACTACGACGATCAGCAAGAATTGCAGAGCGCGACTGGAAACATTATTTAGATTTTTCAAAAGGAACATTTTAAATTGTACCTACTTATGCACTCAGTCACATTCTCACCATTGTACGTTAGAGCAGGTTCCCACACTGCTGCTTGTACTTTTTTTTTATAACACTTCTTTAATCCCACTAACTTTCATTCCCCACGGTCTCAACAATTAAAAACAGCGAAAAGTGACTAGAAGAAGAATTTCTCCACCTGCATACCAGCTCCTTGAGAGTCTGCAGCTGGAAGATGCCAATATTTTACGTGTTTTGAGCCGACTGTAACACATATCGTATTATCCGGAGAGATGGCAATAGCGTTAACCTAAGAGAAAAAGAAAGAATTGACAAATTGTATAAATACCTCTGAGACTGATACAAAATTGTTACAAGAAACAACGAAATATTAAAAAAAATTTTAAAGTTATATAGAACAAGTAAACGTTTTCAAAAGACTAACGTTTAAGAACAACAAGAAAAAAAACTACTTGAAAGCAGTTCTACATATAATATGTGATACTGGTAAAGCAAGCGCGTGTGACGCAGTGGTTAGAGGCGCCCTGTAATACACAAGGGATCGATCTCCGCGCCCAAGCTCACAAATACCTTCGTCTCTCCGTGGTCGGCAAATTCGTGCCAGATTTGTATGGGAGGATAGCAGCACTGGCTCTATACATCGGTAGGCAACCGCGAGTCATTGTAAAGGCCAGATATGTATTCAATCACCTCCAACGATGCTTAGTGAAGTCGAATGCATGGCGCATCCCTCAGTGATTGATCAACGCCAAGTGCCTTATCCTCTATCCCTTACTCGTAAATTATGCATTGATAACGATCTCACTTTTTTTTAAAGAAAGCTATCACGAGTCTTTAAAGCGACCAATCAATCCACAAAAGGAATGAAGAAACAGAAACTTCAACCGTTGTAACAGTTCCTAGGATCGGCTTTCTATTACACTTCGCATTGGATTTTAAATACATCGTTTTCCTGTTTAGCAATAGCGACGTTGCTATACAGCATACATTTACTTCCATAGAAAAACGCAATACAATACAACACTGGCTGACGTTTCGGCAGTATCGCCTACTTCAGAGCCTGGAAGGATATACTGATATGCAATTTACAATGTAAAACGTTTCAATAACGCAAACAAAAGGATGAAAATCCAAGTGGCAATCATATAATCAACGGGTTCTCGAAAAACCAGCCGTTTTTTACGTGCCTTCCACTGAAGAAGAACAGCTGATTAGAGCCGCATATGGTTGAGTGCACCATCCCATATCAAAAGTCGATGGGAAGGTACGAGGCCTGATCACGTGTGATCTCCAGGCATTCCTCGCTGCTATTCATTGTAGGGTTCTTGGCATTTATCCAAAAAGCCTTAGAAATTTTGCTCGCCGGTGTTTCGGCATCCTATACCAGGACTGTGACTTTTATATCAAAATCGTCTCCGCTATGCTTTTGTATCCTATGCGTGGCCAGTGGAGGACTACTTAGTCTTGCTCTTCGTTTGCCATCTAGGTGTTCTTTATGCGGCTACACAAAGGCCTGCCCGTTTCGCCATTATATTCGTCTCCGCAAGTACTACAAGAAATCAGGTATATCGTACTTGAACTCATGCAGTCACCATCCCTGCCATTAGGGAAAACGACGCAATTCTGTCTTTCCACAGACGATCATACAGGCGGTTAAGAACTAACTGACAACGAAAAGCATCGGGTGGTGTTTCAACTATCGCTACCTCTCGACCTGTCCTTATTGAGCACCATTTTATAGCTACACTTACTTTATCGCAAATGAGAGGTGACATAAACGAAGTTTCGTTTTGGTCATGCTTTCGTTTTGGAGAGTCGCTCTCCTTCTAAACTTGCTTCGTGGGGTTACCATTTCGTAGGTATTGGAGATGGCTATCTTCCCAGCCAAGTAACGCGGCTCCTTCTTTAGTTCCCTCTTCGGGCACACAGCGGTGGCTGTTCGATACGTGTTTCTCACAATCTCACAATATAATTATAATTGCGGACAAATTTATGGTTGACCGTAGTCAGTCAGTCACAGTGACGTGTACGTCTCAGTGGAAATAATACCGGAAACATGTCGTCGTCAAGTAGTTCGTAACTGCCCAATACCGTCTATGTGAAATATTGCGTGATTTTCTCTTATAGCAGGGATGGTGACTGCATGAGTTCAAGTGCAATATGCCTAATCTCTCGTAGTATTTGCGGATATGAATATATTAGCTAAACGGGCAAACCATTATGTATCATTGTAAAGGAGCACCTAGACGGCAAACGAAAAGCAAGACAAAATACTCAGCTAGGGATGCATAGGATATAAAACAATTGCGGAGGCGATTTTGGTATAAAGGCCACTATGCTCGCACGGGAACCTAAGACACCAACGTGTAAGCTTCTTGAGGCTCGTTGGATAAATGCCAAAAATCCTATAATGAATAACAGGTATGAATCACTAGATGGAAGACACGTGAAACGGTGAGATTTCAAAAAGCTGTTGATCATGTGATTGACATACAGTTTTCCGTCATTCTGTGTGTTATTGAAGCATTTGACGTAGTAACTTGCATATCAGGATACCATTTCAGGTTCTGAAGAAGGCGATTCTGCCGGAACGTCAGCTACCATTGTGTTGTATGTCTTTTTTGTATGGAAGTAAACAAACGCAGTATAACAATCTCACAATTGCTGAGCAAAAAAACGACGCATTCAACCACCGTTTCAGCAGTTTTGGGTTTGATCACGAATATTGTGAGAAAATAGTATGAAAAATATGTTATGGCGAAATATTTTCAAAAACAGCTTTAAACTAGTGAAAGAGATGCATTTAGCTAAACAAACTAGTAAAACAGTAGAAAACGGAAATTGGGAAAATGTAAACATTACATGTTAGAGATCTTGACCGTTGACATAATTAAGAAATCTACGTGTTTACGTTGTTCAGCTTACACGTGGTTGGTTGGTTGTTATTCGGCTTACGTTTCCACCACTTTGTCTTCATCACAGCCGATGTGTAACAACCTTGTGTAAGCTCAACAATTTAAACACATGTTGATGAGTTATACCGAGGTTAAAGGAAATGCGGTTTTATAATAAATTTACAACGATAAACACATGAATAAGTTTTTGTTGGTTGGAGTTTGACGGTTTATAACTCTTCTTCATATTTAACGTTTATTTCCATTGACCTCTCCAATTTATTCAACAGAATGGACAGCGAGAGCCAATGCGCAGGCAACTCACAACGGCAGTGACCTTTCCTGTGCTGACTTTGGTGCCACTTCGCCAATCCCACACACATATCGTTCCATCATGTTGACATCCAACGGATATTAGTAGGTTAGTCCCAGAAACGAAACGCTGAAAAAGTATCTTTATCGTCTTAACATTTCTAGTCACTTTTAAAAATCGTAGATTAGTTATCCGTTTTATGTGCATATTGACGATTTCTTATCTCTGAGAACAGAATTCTTAGGCCGATAACGACTGCCCTGAAAGCACGATAATACTAAGTTGCCTGAAAATTAGTATCGGATTCGTAATTTCGTTCTTCTTGTATATGTTTTAAAATAGTTTCTTTTACTACGCTGTTTTATTCATACGTCACTGAAAAGTACATCTTATGAACTTTCGTTCCGCATGATCGAATTTCAGTACAACCTGTGTTTTTGACGATTAGAAAAGCAATAGCGATAAATTTACTTCCAAGAATACAAACTTAATCGTACGCAGCACAAATGGCTCGAAACATTACTAAGGTATAGGGACAAAGCGGAGTTAACGAAAACAAAACATTCGTTTAGAAAATTTCGTTGTGCCAAATTCGACTTCGCAGGATGAGGGAGGTGGTGAACGCCCTTCTACTACTGACCACGATGGATTTAAGGAATTGGTGGAAGCGAATACACGCGCAACTGTTCGAGAAATTGCAGAAGAACTCGATTTAAGTACACCAACTATCTTCGAGCATCCAGAAAACACGAAAAATCCAAGAATTTTGACGAATGCCGCACAAATTGAATGACAAAGAAATCGCCGCTTTGAGACATCGTTTCTTGGCGACCATCGAACTTTCAGCTTTCTCAGAGCCAACGAGAAGAGATTGTATAAGTTAGTCGTATTCTTCATCGACCTTGCAGATAAAAGCGTCTTTCGAAAACCGAACGTGATCTGAATGAATACAGATTTATGGTCGTTTTGGAATTTTTTTCTTCCATTTTGCGGCTTTCTCTCCTTTCTGCGAGAGTATGATCTTGCACAAAGTAGATGGTGGTCTGATTCCGTGGGGTATTTTGGCACACCGGCGACTTCAGTTAGGCAAAACCTTCGGTTTACTATGATGTGGTTGGTCTACTACGTTACGGTACTCTGCATTGGGGGATTCTCACATCCAGCGATGAGAGCAGGGATTCTAGGAATTGTTTTTTACCATGAATTACCATGAATGTTCATGGTCGCCATGATAAACTCAAACAGTCGCTCACTCTGCTAGTTCCATTATAATCCGTGGGTACCAATGTGACCTTCTCCTGGTTCCGATTTTAGCCTTAAAATCTGCAATTATGACCTTAAAGAATGTATGGTTATCTCTGTAAAACTTTTCCAAGTTCATATAGAACATTTCGACATCGTCTTCATCGATACTATAGCTTAATGTCAGTGCGTAAACGACGAAAATTCTCAAAGCAGGTATTGATCCACATTTCTTCAACTGTAAATGTCTGATTTGAGTTGATTGCTATTCGAATGAATGGATGTTCAGTACTAAACTCGTGCTCATGGGAACGTCGATGCAGCCGACTCTTCTGATGTCGCATGTTTCGAGGAAGAGTTCTTCCTCGGTATCATAAGCGGCGTTAAATGAATGGCGTCTTTTCTTCTCATCCAGTTTGGTGACATCGTACCTTATCCTTCTTTACTGCATGATCAAGTCTTCTACCGAGACCTTAGATGCAAGTGTGCTCGCATTGCAAGTGCAAATCGTCGTCTTAGTCCTTGCCGAAATAGGCGGCCTAGAATAGCTCTTAGATATTAGCAACCTCTCCTTACTCGTCCTACCGAACGCTGCCGTATCGGGGGACCTTTCGGTGTCAGGAGAATGAAGCCAGTTTATTTTACTGTTTCGCCTTTTGATACCAACGTATAACTTGTTGAGGTCCGAACATAGGAGGTGGATATAGTCACGGGTAGCCTGTCACTCTCTCTCAGAGAAGAATTAGGGGCTATTTGTTGAAGGGGACTCTAAACCCCATCCGATGTAGTTCTCAATCTATTGATTTCTGACGCTTGGCCGAACTGACTCGTAGAATAGAACTCGCATAAACGAGAACACACTCACGCACGGATGCATTAATATCTCTTCGTAAATGCAAAAGAAATGTGTCAAATGGGCGCAGTAGAGGAAACAAGTAGTTCATCTCCTGGAACCACCTGCGGCTCAGGGAAGCAAAGTACACTTTTCAACCGCAACTAACCCCCTATTCTCCACCTATAGACGTACCGTCTTGCTTTACGATTAAATAGAATGGTATCCCTGTAAGCGGGAGATCGGTGCGGTGGCTCAACAGCTATGCCTGTCATTGGGCAGCAGAAAGGGACCAATCCTTCCAGATGACAGCGCGCGGCCACACATCGCACTATCGACACTGTAATGGTTAAACAATCAGGACTAAGAAACTGTGTCCCATCGAGCATACTCGTGAGCTCACTCGCATACCAATTTTCATTCTTTCAAGGATCTCAACAACTTTCTGTATGAGAAACGATTTAGAAACCGAGCCGAGGCCAAAGCTGCCCTCAACGATTTCATCGCGACATTGATTCCCGAAGAACGTAACAATCATAGAGAAAAATGTATAGTATTAATAAACCTATAGAACATAAAAAATAAGCAGGAATGCGATGCAAAAAAGACTTAGAGACGTAACTGCACTGCAGAGAATGAATATGGCTTTTTTTTTTCTCCAAACGGAATTTGAAACAACAACTTGTTACAAGAGTAACTGCGGTTTCTGTCTATGAATCTAAAGATATGTAAACACAAAACATAATAAATAAGTAAAACAAAACAAATACGTGGTGATGGGATTTTGCATGCAGCCGTGTGCTGCCGCTTCCAACTTTAAATCAACAATGCGTAGCTCACACTGAATTTTGTTAATCGAAATAAGAACCATTAGAATGCGCAGACTTTCCCTTAGGATAAAAACCTTCTCTCGTTTTCCTTTGGAAGAATTCTGGTTTTCGAAGTGCATGGACCATTCTTATCTCTTTTGCGTGAGGGGTTGAATTACAAAAGCAATTCAATAGGTGGTATTTTGTCCTGCTGGGTACGATGGTGTCCCTTAGTGAACCATTGGTTTTTGTGCTTTTGGTTCTTCCTTTGAAAATTTTAAAATTTTATATTCTGTCTTTAAATGTCTGAGAACTTCAATTCTAAACAAATTTACGATTGTAAGAGAACTTCATAAAAATTATATATGCCTTTAAAAAGAGAGCGAAAAGTCTCTAATATAAGTCTTTTCTATTAATAGAGAAATAATCGCGTCAAAGAACCAGATTTGTCGCGAATACGTTAGTGTTTCGTACGGGATATATTAGTCCTCATCACGGGGAAGACCGTAGATGTCTACCAGAAACTGACCACTGCTAGCCTACGCTGATAATCAACGCTGCCATTCCAAAAAGAACTTAATGGGTTGTATATAGAACTCAATATTCAAAATTCATGAGTGGAAATTAGTGGGACATGAACTGAACGAATTGTATTGAAATAGTCGTCATAAAGTCTGTTCTGCGACAAAAAAGTGTACAAAATCCGAAAAGGTTCATTTCAGTGACTGAACAGATATGAAGCTCTTAAGCATTTTCCAAAGCTTAATTTGCAACAATGTATTGCTGTGACGATTCTCTCGTTTCGCAAAAGAACTCATGCGATCCAAGACCTTTAATGATGGCGGAACGATCAAAGCATAGAAGAAATGTCACAAAATCGATGAAAATACCTTTGAAGAAATGGTCGCTTTCAGAATACAGAAATCGTGAGTTAACGAAAGAAACAGATTTGTACTACGTTCGCGAAATTGCGTAAATTGCAATGGTTATTTTTTTTTTAATAAAGTTACGCTTTAGCTGAGTTAAAGAATTTCGAGGTTTTTGCTGGCAACTATTACTCTATTTTGTAAATTGCTTAAGCTCCTTTTCGCTAAAAACAGTGTTTAGGTTGCTGATGATCTTCTTAGTTAATAGTTGTTGAAATACTTAAAAGTGAGAGGGTACAAAGGATAAAGTGGATGAAGAAGAGCTTTGTTCTCCAATCTACTGAACATCTACGGCGTTAGTTGTGGTAGCCGAGCGTTATCCTGTGGGGTTAAAAGTACATTGTTGATGATACATGGAAAGCATGGATAGACATGCTGCAGCTTTCGATTCGGGCGAATTCACAATGCCGTTTTTTTCTTATCTCTTAGATTTAAAACTATATTAAACGACCTCTGGCAGAAAACGAAAAACGAAGCATAACCATTTTTCGATGCAAATCAGCCTTTGCAAAATGTTTAATAGCTTCGATTCGGTTCGCTGACTGAAGTGAATACCTTCTGTCGCCACACAGGATCCATTTTCGAATTCACGTTTTGATGTGAAAAATGATCGTTTCGTTGCGAAAATGAGGACAATAGTAAACTTTATAATGGCGACCTCGACGAATCTTCTCCGTTTTTAACATCGTTTCGGCGTGAAACCCTATGAATTATCCGTGAGTTAGTGCTGGGAAGCCCCTCGCTGCCCAATGTGCGATGGTGCCTTGATTTCTATCGCTGTTTTCTGTCCAGATTTAAACTCGTGAAGCAAAACGACGCTACTTTCACGCTTCAACAACACCATTTAAACCGGTCTGAAATCTGGTCTCAGAAAAGGTAAAATACAGTAATTGCTGAGCAAAAAAAAGCCTTCAAATGACAAACAGTTACGATATGAGCAAGAAATACAAAATGTGTTGTAGATTTCCTGACGAAAAAAAAATCGCCAGTCTGTTTACATCGACCTAATACTTACTACGGCAACAACTGAATTAGAATGGAACGGAAAGCTCCGGATCGATTGTCCCGTAAAATTTCCCACGTCATCGTAGATCTCCCAAAGCCGAACATGAGGTTGATGACCAGACTAAAGGTAGAGATCATATAATTTTCAGAATGAGATACGAATAGCTAGGTTGGCTTTCATAAATATGAACATATTATATTGAATACTCCCAAAACCTTTGGCTATTAAATTAGAATGTCACGACTGTTTCTAAATAAAAAATAAACGACCTCTCCTGTAGCCATGTATCGTCCACATGAGCTGAACGCAAGGCACGTGAACGGATGACGAGCAGCTCCAACTAGGTGGCCTTCTCCGAATGCCTGTGTACCGTCTAGGCATGTTAGCACCACAGAGGCTCTAATAATGTGTTATATTACATAATCAGTAGACACCTAACTCAAAAAAGTGGGGATGCTGCATATGCAGGACTGTATCAAGGACTCGATCTGAACTGTCGTAAAGCACCCAAACTACAATCCGTATTGCTGCAAAAACATTACCCTAAAAGGTTTGCCCAATTCACTACATTAAATTACGATTACCAAAACAACTGGAAAAACAGCTGGTACTGTATATTAGTATTCTCAGCAAAATAATTGAGAACAAAATTGCTGCGTCATTGGCTGAAGTGTAGCCCAAATTTACCAAGCTGTGACAGAAATTTGAAACTTTGAACAACCAGAAGCTAGGGGAAAACTTTGAACAGAGCTATATATACCTTCCATATAACACATTCACCCTTTTTTAGTTCCACAGCTGACAGTATACAATTAGTAACCAGAAGGTGATAAGTGTCTGGAATGTGATAACGAACAGTCGTACTTAGAAGGAATGCACGGTTGCGTATCATGAAAAAAATTTTTCAAAGATAAATAATTATCGGTCTAAACACAACTACAAGGAGAAGAAAAAAAACTTCTGAAACTTCAGTACACAAACTGCCATGGTTTTTACATTTATTTCAGTTTTATTTCTTGTTCACCCTACTCTTTTTGGACAGTCTGGTGTCCATCGATACCCTAATATTCTCATTGTTTGCTACCGCTAAGTATTCGACTGAAGCGAGTAAACATAAGATAAAGCAGCTCATTATTTGCAGAGGGACTACAGTGAGAAGTGAGTTGTCAATCTTGGCACTATCATAGTGCAAACACAAAACTGCCTTCATGAGCGGTAATGTGCACGGTTCTAGCCATATCAGCAGAAAAACTGAGCTGAAACGATGCGCAAAAACAGGAAAGTAAGAAAAGTACGCAATGGGAGACCCAAAACACACTTGAGTCCGCTAGGCATTAAACGGTTACAACTAAAGCGAACGCTTTCTGGATCTTATCTACTACGTGATGAAAGTTAAAACACTTATTTCTATGCCTGGTTTATTACTCCATAGTGAATATCTACTTACAGAGAAGGATGAAGGCGTCTATCGAAAAAAAGTGGGACAACGAATAAAAAAAGGAATAGAACTAAAACAAAACGAGAACTCAAAACACACCCGGCAACATATGCTATACGACCAGTTTGCTCATGGACAGCGAGAGAATTCGGACTCACAGCGGTACGTCCAAAAACAGCTTCTAGCTTCACCTAAACAAAATGTAAAAGACAAAAAGAAACAAATAATCGCCAATAGAAAGTGCTTCAGCTATATATAGGATAACATTCTGATAAATATTATGATTTTTTGAATACCATTAAGAACTAAATTAACTGGCTATTGCGGTAAACACATGATAGCCAACTTTAATAGAATATGTCTACTCTAATGAAAATATGTCTACTCTCAGTAGTATGAAAACTATTGGCCGTTGTTTTAACCACTGAGCCATAGAACTTCAGTAAAACACCTCAGTAAAAAAATATGACACGTTCAGCTTAAACAATAACATAGGATCTTTCGAAGTGACTTTATACGAATTCTTTTGCACGTCAACAAAATGAAACAGAAGGGAGAGTTTTACTTCATATTAAGTCCACACTTCAATTCAACATATTTAACTGTTTAGTAAGAAGTATTAAGTAGTAGAAAGTAGTAAGAAGAACTTATTTTTGATATAATACCGTTCTATAGTAGCGAAAAACTATGAATTACCCAAGTTCCTGACTATACGCTAGGACCTTTCCTTGTCAACTGCAGGTGGCAAAGGAATCTTTCGAGATGTCGACTTGCATGGTTTATGGACTGATTAAGGAAGATAAAGACTGGTGATAAAGCATAGATCTACAATTTTTCGTGAACCATTTCTGATTTTCCACTTGACTTCAACTTGTTAAGCTGGTCTTTTCGTTCCAGCCTTGCTCATGAAACCGCAGCGCAGTTGCATTCACTGAAATCGTTCGTCATCGTTTCGTTTAACTCCTTTACTCCCCAATTCCCTTGCTTCTCTTGGCGCTAAGTTCTGTCAATTTCTGGTCCCTTAAGGGCACAGGACCACACTATTCTTTCCGTTCAACCATTAAACTCGAAACACACAACAAACAACGTCAAATAATTTATGCAGCCTTTCTAAACATGGTTATATAGGACAAATCGAACCAATTCCTTTGTTCATAACATGGTATCGCTGAATAGTTTGCTTCCTTTAGAAACAAAGTCCCCGCAAGTTTCCTCTACCTAAGGCAAATAAACGGTTTTTCCCATAACTCAGGAACTTGGGTAGCAAAAAAAGATAAGCAGAAGTCGATGACGCACATAAGAGCACGAAAGCAAAGAGCTGTAGCTCATCTCTAGATAGAAGCTTTAAATGCTAAACATTTTGGTCGTCGAAAGTATCACTAAGACTGCGTCTAACAGAACTTCATATCACATAGTGTCCCTTGTAATCACGAAATCAAAGCCTCGTTATTGACAACTACGATTAAATCGCGAGCGATCGATTCCGGCCGAGCTCGTGAAAACCAGACCTCGCTTCTCAGTTGGAGGCTGAGGCGCACAAACTTGAATTAAAGCGCCACGACATTCAAAGCTCCGTGATAACGATCATTACCAAATCCACGAGTTCTTTGATTAGGAAGAGTATCAGCGGTCATGACAGTACGAAACTCTTCCCAATCAGGCTATTTGGGAAGAATATTTAATTCACATAGTTTCAACTCGTCAAAAAATATTTCTCAATGAAACAACACCCATTCAGGTAGCATATATATTTCTATATAAAATATTGGAGCTAAAATGATAGAAACTGTTTTCTGAGAATATAGACAAAGAGTACTGGAAATATGAGGATATCAAAGTGAATCATCCAGATTTAATACTGCGATGACTTCAACGTGCCCCTCAGAAAACATAGTGTAAACCAGTCCTAGCAAAAAATTTATTGTAGGCGGCAAATCTTTCACAAAAGAAGGTCGGTGACTACAGCAAAAGGTGCCGGGCACGACTTTCTCGTGGCCACGGGAAAGATCGGACAACCAGCAAAACACTAGCGTAATGGATCTAAAGATGGAAATTCATTTATGGACAAAAATATTACATACTAACTACTAGTTCTCTAGGATTATGTGAGCATATGTCGTAATCGATTATGAGGAATAACAGAAATAACCAGATAATCCATGTAATTCTAGCCCATACTACCTCTGATTACTACTTCTCAGGACTTTTAATATTTCATGATCAATCCTTTGTTATTTCGAGAACAGCTGCAGACGATTCTCATTAACACAAACTTCACTGAAACAAATGGATCCGCTTCTCCAAAAATTCACTTACGCCCGAAATTCATCGCAATTGACGCAGTAGGATTGTCGTAACACTAACAAATGAATGAAGAGCATTATATGAACATATGAAGAATGGCGACAATTATAACACTTATTTAACTGACACTCTGATTCTGACACTGTGAAACCATAAAAGGTTCACAAAATGTGCGTAATTACCTAGAACTTCGCGTTAATATCGTTGTTCCTTGCCCTTCAAAACCAATAGTAACTCATATTTGAAGATTTAACTGAATGGTTAAAGTACGTTTTCAGAGCGATGGCTAAAGCTAAGCTCTTAGATGCTTTCAGTATTGCGCGAGTAAAATACTCCACTAGGCACGCAAAGAAGATAAATAGCCAAGAAGATTTTGCAAAGTCACGATTCACGCACAATAATTTAAAATACCCACGATGCTTTTGCGTTCTAGTGCCTGATGGAGTAAAACATTTTTCTAAGTATGGATATATACATATATATATACATACATATATATACATATATACATACATATACATACATATACCTATACATCGCTACTCCAAAATTAGAACAAATAACATAACAAATTAGGGTGCAGACAGCACAGTGGTAGTAAAGCAGAAATTACATATGTATATGTGGATACGCGTCTATAAATATATACACACTATATATATACATATATGAATGTGCACATACGTATATATACGCATGTACACATATATATACACATACATACATACCTAAATATATAAATGGTGTGTGTGTGTGTGTGCGTGTATTCATGCACATACACATTTCTTTCACAAACACTGCTTCTTTTTAAATACGCAGGACATATTTTCAAGTAGTCAAAATTTTCAATTTTCGAAACTTTTTAGCGCAAGTACGGCGATAGGCATGAACGACGCCTCTATGGGCATCATAGCATCTTACTGAATGAAATTTCCTACGAAAAGAAAGAAATGACTGTAGGAGGAATAGAAATAAAAATCCATTGTTACGGAGTAATAGCACTTCTGTGATGGTGGCAAAATGTCAGGTTTCAATGGTTTCATAATGTTAATTAGTGAAATTTGCTAGAGGATCAATGCCTAAATAAGTGTTCAATAGCAGCGTGAAGACAGACGTTTGTCTGAAGCTGTAGAGGGCTAAATCATTTTCGGTAACGTATGCGGCATAAATAATGTAAGTCGTTACGGAAGTGTTAAGTTGTTCAATATATGGAAACATCTTGAGAAATGGTTAGCGAAAACCTCAAGTAAACGGGAACTCATTTAGTCGTCAAATTCGAAAAACTTTTCCTGTGTCATAAATCCCATTAATAACACCATAATTTTGGCGCGATTTTAAGATACTTAGTTACTTCGTTCGAAAGAAATTTGTTCGAAGTTTTTCTCTTTCCTTACGGAATCGATAATTTTAAGCGATACCAGTGATTGAATACGCCTTCGAAATATGGTACACGTAGCTTGCCACGTACTGTCGAAGAACTTCCAACTGCACTGTAAGCGAAATCAAAGCCACTTGAACCAGTAAGTTCCAGCGTTTTGAATGGAATACTTTGTAGGAGACGAAAACACACGTGTAACTATAATGTAGAGGAACAATGGAACTTTACAAAATCGAAAACCTGCCCTGACTACAACTTCTTGTTGGTCAGAGTACTTTATTACGCAATACAAATCGTTTATTTTGTTACTCCACATGTTAGGGAAGTTGTCCGAAGGTAAATCAGAAATACGTCAACGATCAATACTTAGTGAAACATCACCTCATTGAGGACCTTAACAGTAGGAAAAAAACCATTTAAAGGACAAAATAAAGCAGTCCGAAAATCGTTGGCTTTGTCAAACCTGTGCCAGACTTATCAAACAAAATCACAGAAAGACTTTCTGCAAACTCTTTTCAAACAATGAATCATCAAGTAATCTCACCGTCTAATGCAGTGTACGTAACAGACAAGCTAATTTCAAGGAAAACAGAGTGATGTTCAAAACAGCACTAATTAAGAATAATTACGTGAAATTAATACGTTTTGTTCCTTATTAAATAATGTATGGATCAGGGGAACAGAAAGCCCTTACACATGCTCAACACATTAGGTTAGCGAAAAGGTAGGTTTTTCTTCAAGTGAGAATAGTTTTCCAATAATTAAATTGCTTGAGAACTTGACGTTGACCACTTCATAGAAGGAAACTTCTCTTGTCGCTTCAAGAGCACCGCCTTTTTTTTTACTCAAAGTTTCTCTTTGTTCTATAAACTGTACCTTTCTGAAATCAAAATATGTTAATGCGACAAATCACTACCATTTGTATCAACAAAAAAATTTTCTATTCGAAAAAAAGCAAAGAAAGTGCCGACATTGACTTTCAGGAAAAAAATAGTGTCACACTAGACGAAATCCGCCTTATTCAAGCGCTAAACTGTTACGACAATCGGCGGCGGAAGATGAAAGAAGAAACAAATCGCGAAGCCCAGAAAACTACGATTTTATGCCGGTGGAATAAGAACTTCTGCACGTTGTTGGTCCGGATCAAACAAGTACAACAATTCTAATCACATGTTATAAAACCTGTCAGCGGAGACATGTTAATGCAAAGTACGAAGGGTGCATGATTGCATTGAAACCAATACATATTGACGTGAAAGTGAACTGAATTCTTCAAAGAAGTTGATGCTGCAGAAACTAATGAGCCATCGTCCTGTACAGAGTCGCTACCTCGATCTCCAGTTCAGAATAACAAGGCCGGCTCCCATCATGGCCCGCTATTTACTACATATCCAACATCACTTACTCCAATAAATACCATCATTGTGGTCCGCATGTGTAAATACTGAACACTTACTGTCGCAACACATCTCTTTGACACCTACACTCTAACTGGCTTTTAACAACTACTGGAAGTTCCTCGATAAGTGAAGTACTTGAGAAGGTAAGAATTGGATAAACTCACAGAGAGTTTGTTTTATCTATTCATACGCAAATATGACTTCCCAAAAACGTTTCAACTTACTTTCAAAGTCGTTTTAATATGAATTCCAAGGAAAATGAAAGACAAATTTGACACATGGTGCTCGACGATGTTTTTTGATAAATGATAACAGTTTCTACAAAGACTAAAACATCTAAAGATATGAGAAAATCATAGATTTATAGAAACCCATGCTCTACCGCCTTAATCGTAGATATCGTAAATATGCTTCGCTGTAAATTCTTTTCTAAACCCTAAACACTCAGAAATCTAAACTTCCAGAATTTCTACACGTCGAAACAACGGTGGCCATCGGATAGATTCGCTGCGGAACAATATCGAGCCCTGCTACATTAAATCCCACCGGTTCAACTGCGTTCGTCTGGTAAATTGGAACCAAGGCGAAAAAAAATAGTGTTCCTGGGCTCTTTAAAATTAAAACTTTCGTCGTGATAGAATAAAGAATCTTCTTTATTAGAATAAATCTGTAGATATATCTGAGATATATTTGTTCAAAGTTGAAAGTGGGAGTGATTTCCTCACTGGATGGGTGGAAATCAATTCACATTAGACTATAAGTGTTAGCGACTCATACGTCTCTTCTTATAAAACCAAAAGGGCGCTTGTTTGTCTTTATACAAATCGAAATACCCCCCATAATCGAATAACATTCGCCAGTTAAACAGAGAATGCATGATCGTAAAGACTCATGGCAGTTTCCCAGATACAAAGTCCATCAATATTAAATTCATTTATAGCACCACATCCAGTTTCGTATAAGTTATAGACGCGTCACAGCACCTAGTGCATTAAACACCACTCCTAGAACTGTCCATAAAATGCAACTGATCTCAAAATAGCAAACAGTGGACAGGGAAACAGTCAATTTGGTTTCTCAAATAACCCAAAAAACAGGAATACTATGCAAACATGTTATATAAATGTATATGAACAAAAAATAAGTAAATTCATAAATATGTACACATGTATATAACTGATGTATTATAAATTATAATAGAAAGGTCTTTCTATCAACAAGTATGTTAAGATTTCGAAACTGTCTCCTACTGAATCTTCACATAATGGGAGGAATGTGAATGGCCTCGCTGGTTCAAGGACAGAATATTATGAACTATTTCACAGACAGTGACACGATTAGCGCAGCGACAGTGATGCCATTCAGTACGTGAAAATCTCTGATTAGATCGTGGCGTTGGCCAATTAAGCCCTGATACCTCCCGGATCGCGAAGTTCGTACCGAACTGGTTCAGGATCAACCAACGATTTTAAAAAAGTATTTTAAAAAATTCAAAAATTTTAACGTCGGCACGGCAGCAGCAAATATCAGTGGTACAATCAAAGATAACATTGTGATCTGCTATATGATATCTTCGTTTCCCAGGTGTGTAAAAGAAGAATATGGACAAAAAAACCGAAAAAAGGGTCTAATGCTCCACAGAATCCTTTCATTTCTACAAAATAAAAAAACCCGTATTTTGTTGAAAAAACCATACATTCCAGTGTTTTCGATTTAAATTTGACGAATTTCACAACGAGCCGAGATATATCGGCCTGAAGTTGAGCGGCGGGATTGCATTCCAGAAATCAATGTATATGGTGGCGAATGGTTGTTTCACGCTTGATTCACGGAATTAATAGAATGTATACACCTCACGTAATCTGATCCGTCAAAGAACTGTCTGACCGTCTTCGTAATCGAGACGATCGAACACGACAACCTGTCACAGATGATGCGATTTCTTATTCACGATTAATAGAACTTCGTTTTTACGTTCTCTATGCCTACAAATACGTTTTATTATTTCACTAATAGAAATTGACAGATGAGAGGAATGTCATGGTGCAGATGACAAACACTAATGAACCAACGTGTTTACCCAAAACCAGTGTGTCAAGAATTAGTTCTGTCTGTGTGGGAATCAATGCGTCATACCATGAGTAGATTTTAGTGGATAGAATCAAATCATCGCCCTACATTTTTGGAGAGGTTTGTTAATATCAAATTCTCAACATATCAAATGCTTCTTTGAAATTTTTAGTCCCTGAGTCAAAAGTCTACTTCCTGCTGGAAGAGAAACTAAATCTCAAAGAGTTATCAGAAATTTCGTTGTAGGTTGCCTTAACACTCATGCGATAACAAGGAAAACGAGACAGTGCATTCATGCTAGAACGCAAGTATACTTGTATTCAATTTTGCCAACGTTTAGATAGCGATATATGTATACGCATAGTCAAGTTTGTCTCACTAGACGTAGCTGTAGCCAGATATACTTAATATGCCCCACTAAAAAGGCTATTTCAAATTCCAGATTAAACTCGATAAGAAATCTGACGTTTCAGCCTTTTCGCAGATGTTCTGAATTCAGAAAATCAACACAAACACATGGACGGTATTTTCTCAAACTGAAACATAAATGTAAGCTATCATCTCTAATGGAACTTTATGAACAATTGAAACAGGTAAACAAATTTGGATTTATTCGATACGAACCATTAAGGAAGCGCTAAGGTTGAGAAAGTTCCTAAATGTCCCCCCGTTCCGGACATTTGTACGAGGCATCCCGAACACATTTCATAAACTCTTCTTTCATCGTATGTACTCGTAAAGTACACAATAAAATTTAACGCATGAGAACAGCCAATGTGTTTGTATGACGCGTTTCGCGTACTCAAAAATGGTGAATGCAACGACGTAAGCTGTGTCAACAAAATGCATGTGTACGGCTCGGCTGTTTGCAGATGGCTAAACGACCATGTTTCAGGAAAATTCCAGATTGCAGGCAGCATCACAAGCAGCCAGGTTGTAATGGTCCATCAAGTGCATAACTATTCACCAAGGAACCAAATGAAGGAGTCACACATGAAAAAGAAATTTCGTTCTATCCATTGCTTACAACAAAGTCTTCATCTTTAAAATGTAAGCAGGGATCAGAATTGTATTTAAGAATTCAGATCTAATATAATTGGAGAAAGGTACTAACAGTTCGTTGGAGAAACAACTCAGCTTATAAAATTACATTTTCTCAGGGAATCAGAAGGATGGTGAATAGCCTCCGACTACTACAAGCAGACGAAAAGCGAATTCAAATGAGAAGTCAGTGTCGGAACGGTGTCTATAGTACATGAATAATTCATGACGGTGATTGTCATCCATTCCCATGAACGACGTTCTCTACATCAAGAAACGAGACGATTAGTTTTAGAGCAACACGTTACTTCTGATATGAAGTGCACACCAAAACGGAGGAAATATCGAATTTCAATGCGAATAAAATCAAACGAACAGATATACGAATCTCTCAAACGAACAGACATGGGTTGTCACGGAACGTGAGAAAAAATATCGTTGCCGACTTTTTCTCCATTAATAACAAGCCGTTCTTTCTAACTTATCTACTTATCAGTAGTCATGACGACGATAATACCCACGACAAACATATTTAAGTGCAATAAGGATACCATAAAAGTAAATGAATCAATACTCATACAAAACACATTTACAGCAGAATTTAGAAACGAAAACGTACGTTGTAGCGAGAAACATTTGGGTCTCTACGAATGAAGTAAAATTCTCCGAATCTAGCAAAACAACCTACGGAAATTAACCCTAGAAAAACACGTATAGCTCGGTGTTAACCAAAAAACTATGACAAACAATAAAGAACCATCTGAAAGTCGACCACGGCACTCCATTCTTAATGCTTTCAATTTAAATCGCATTCTCTATCAAACCCAACCACCATCTTGTGATACGCTTGAGAGATGAAAGCTGTTCAACACTTACATTCCCATGTATACCCATAGCAAATCGATCAGCACATCTGTCAATCACTTGTAACGCTTGAACAATGAGATGGATGTCGTGGAATGGCGGTGTTAATACAGTCAAAGCACTGCTTTGCCTTAACCCATAGAATCCAGAAAATATCAGCGGTGATTAGGCAGATGTGAATAAATAGTAAGTAGTAAGGAAGACGAGTACGAACGGAGCTAGTGTTCGTTTCCTGTGGAGCAGCACGACGACCAGTCGCAGGTGACGGCGGTGCCGAAATACTGACAGGTGGGCGCGACCAGCACAGCCCTTGCGCAGCAGCCGACAGCTAGTCGGGCGCCCAGCGATGTAGCGCTGTGGGCCGACAGGCGCAGAGCGCCAAAGTTCGAAAGGCCGTACGGCGCGAGGTGTGTGCCCTGGAAACCGAATCCAGCAGTAGAATAGTGTTTCAAAAAGCTGACGGTTTTTCTTCTGCCGAGGTCAATGTGTGACATTGTCTTCCAGGAGAAGAAAGGAAGTCATTCGAAATGACATTTCACTAAGGGCATTCAATTTTTCCCTTGCACGATTAAAGTGTTGCGAAATAGTCATTTTCAGAGGAAATCTCATGACTACCGTCCCAATGTATGTCGCAAAGCCATTTCTGGAGAATTGGTCATAAACGAACTCTGCCTTAACAACGTTCATAAAGAACTTATCCAACGCGCAACGGAAGAAAATGAAGTTAGATAAAAAAGCAATGGTGGAATTTTACCGAAAAGTTTAAAATGCTATAATTCGGCTCGAACACAACTTTATTAATTAAGATAGGAACCGTTGTTATGTACACAAGACGCAAGTTTGTTTCTGACCACTTCTGGGTAAGTACGTTGTAATTCCCGATACATTTCATCGATTTCATAGCGGAACATCTCCACTGTGAGGAGCGTTTCATCAGAATTCAGAATGTTGTGGGCAATTAATCCGGTTCCGATATTGTTATTGGCCACTAAATAAGTCTTCATTATCATAGCTTGATCGTTCTACTGAAGGCCGACGTGATAACTCGTCAACGAAGCAT